CCCGCCGGGCGGCGTCTGCGCGAAGTCTGGGAGAGGGGGGCGGAACGCAAGAGCGCAGCGTGGGGCATATCATTTTGCCAGTCCAGCCTTCGCCCCCCCCCCGCGGCTGGCGCCGCGCGCGCCGCGGCGCAGCGGGTGCGCGGCCGGCCTTTCGCCGCCGCGTTCGGCCGCGCGCCCCCGCGGGAAAATCGGCAGCACAGCGCCGCTAGCGCTTTTGAGTGGCGATGTTTCCTCGCGCAGGCGCCGCGGCGAGCTTTCAGGGCGTCGCCGCCGCCGCAGCAGATGGCGTGGCACTGCGGCATCAGTGGTCGCACATTGGCATGGGGCTTCCTGATTTGCCGTGGATCCCCAGGTTGTTCGCGGGCGCAGGCTGGGATTCGCGCGAGCCCCGCCGCGGGCCCTTCTGCGGGGGCCTCGAGTGGAAACGTTGCCTGGCCAGAGAAATCCCGGGGTCGCCGCCCGGCGCCTCGCCGCGCCCCTTCGGGGCTCCTGAGAGGAGCCGCGCGCCGCCGCAGCCGCAAGCGCGGCCGTCGCAGCAGCGGCGGCCCCGATGGCCGACCCCGGCGCGGCCATGGCGACGCCCGACCGCAGCCGAGAGACCAGCGCGGGTCAGTGCAATCTGGAGATGATGCCGAAGACGCTTCCGTCCGGAGAAGAGGGCCCAATGGGCGGGATCAACGATGGCAACCAACCATCAGGCAAACCACCCCTGCCGACGCTGGCCCCCGCTACCAGCCACAAGCCAGCCGCGACGCCGAAGCCGCCGGCTCATTCACTTCAAGGCGCTCTTCGGCAGCGCCCGCCGCTCGGGTGGGAGTTCGACGGGCGCGCGGCCCATCTCGCGACATCCACGCCGAGATCAGCGCAAGGAGCGCGACGCCTCGCGAATTCGCGCAGGAAAAGCAGGAGGAGTTGATTGGGTGGTTCGGCAAGGACGCCGGGGAGCTCCACGCCGAGCAGGACGTTTGAGGCGTCGCGGTCAACCGAGTGGAGCAAGAACGACGACGGCGCGCCGACCGCAAAAGCAAAACCGGGACGCCCTGGAAGGTCAGCATTTACAGCGTCACCTACCGCATCAATGTGGGGACGTTCGTTACTGCTGCAGTTAGCAGTTTGGCGTGGCTGGAAAACGTGGGCGGCAGTCGCGGCTACAGCCCCATTAGATACGCGACCCCAAGTGCGCGCGCTGTACGCCAAGGTTCCGACGGACGCAACAGGACTCGTGGGAGTCGACCCCGGTGCAACGAAGCTCACCCAGCCCGCCCACAGACGCGCGAAGCCGCCAAGCCGTTCGCGGTTGCAAGCAGTCGACTACTGGGGGGCCCGCGGCATTGGGAGGCCCGCGGCCTCCAGCAGCACCCGCTAGGCCCCTGCTCCTCCGCGAGCTTCGACGAGGGCGGCAACTGCGACGGCTGCGTTCCCCCCCGCGCGGGCGACGCGCCAAGGCAGCAATTGCGCCAAGGCCACCGCCGAGGTAAAAAGAGACGCCTGGCGAGCGCCGGCCGAGGCCGACGCGCGTGGGCACGCTGGTCGGCTTGGCCAATGGAGGGTTCCAAGTGGGCCTCGTAGCTGCCGTTTCTCCTGTAGCGCGAGCTCCCGAACGTCGACGCCGCTCTTCTGATCGATCGTGATAGGCTTGAGGCTTTGAGAGCACGTCTGCATCTTGACTTCCATCGCATTGTCGTTGGACCGCATGTTGCCCCAGTGAGGAGCGTGGTCAAAATCCGATCCGCAGTGCTCCATCTTGTAATCCTCGATCCGCTCCCTAAACATGGCCAGCTACTTGCAGCGAGCGCAGCATTGGCGAAGGAAGTCAAACGGATGCTGCGCGTCTTCAAGCAGTAGGCGGACGTTGGCATTAAAATGAAGACGGTTGGACTGCCCAGTAAGATCGCCTTAGTGACGATGGTAGATGCGGGGCCCAGGGAGCGCGACATGCAGGAGCCAGTCAAGGAGGCTACGACATCGTAGCCTGTCGCGAGAAGAATTATAAGGAGAAGAGTCAGAATCCAGCGCATTCAGCTGCGAGTCGTTCGAGTTGGTGAGATTGATTTGATCCGCAGTCCACGCGGAGTCTCAATCTCAAGCAGTTGCAGCATGCATGGGCTCCCTGGACTTGACCAGGAGCTCTTTGGCAGTCCTCATCTTCGAAAACGTGGACGCGAAAAAGCAGGACGAGAGCACGCAGTACGCCGGAACTCCGGCGGTTGTGGTCGACGCAAAGGCCCTCTACGATGTTGCGCAGAAAGAGAGCATCACACTTTTCCAAGACAAGACGGCCGGCATCGAGGTACCGTCCTGCGCAAAACGACGGCGGTTACCCACATCTTGTGGAAATGGGTATCACCACGACGGCAATGCGTGGACGGCCTGACCAACATCGCAGGTCACCAGCTCGTTGCAGATCATTTTTTTGTCAGCGGGGCGCCTACGGCTACGCCACGACCCAACATGCGTGGCGGCAAAAAGGAACGACAGTATATGATCGACCAGCCGAAAGGTGTGACATCATCGGCAACACGCAAGGCGAGAACACCTCTGATGCAGTTGGCAGTGTTCGCGACATGCTGCTGCAGACGAGCAAAACACCGCGATTGACTTGATCAATCAATATCAGTTCACGACGACAAGATCGGGCGGATGGATACGAGGTGGAATTCGGGTGACATTGCTGTTCTCGGAGAGCTTTTTGTTTACAGGGCCCGGTGACAGCACGCGTTGCCCCACCCTTCCCCCCCCCAGAGCGGTAACGCATGGGAATTGGCCACACGCGTGAATTCTTTCAGCTTCCATCGGATTGGGCATCCCCATGAGGAGGGGGAGGAGGAGGAGGAGGAAGAGGAGGAGGAGGAGAAGGAGGAGGAGGAGGGGGAGGAGGAGGAGGACGGGGAGGAGAGGAAGGAGGAGGAGCAGGAGGACGACGACAAAAACGACCGATGTTGCCGGGAGGCTTCTGAAGGTGCCCAAGCATAATTCGTTGTTGTCGTCGTCGTCGTCAGCGTAGTGTTCCCCCTCATGTCGTCCACGTCTTGTTCATACCGCACGGCGTCGACAGACGTTGCGTTGAGGTGTGCACAAGCGCCCTGGTGCACGCAGGCGGTGTCGTGCACGGCCACGGTATGGTGCACACGGTTGGTGTGATGTGAGCGGGCGCCGTGGTGTACAAAAACAGTCCAGCGCACGCAGATATTGTGGTCTGCAATGGCACTGTCGCGCATGCGGGCGTTCAGGTGTACAGAGGCCTTTTGGTGTACACAGGGGGTGTGGCGCCATGATGCGCGCAGGTGCTAGGGTGAACATGGGCATCGTGGTGCACACAGGCGCTGTAGTGCACGCGGGCGTTGTCATGAACACATCTATGTTGCGCCGGTGCTGCGGGAGCGCCTTTGGGGTTGCACGCCGGCCGCCGTTGCTGTTACCCCCCCGCCAGCCCCTGTTCCACCCCCACGGGGCAACACGTGTTACCTTCAACGGAAACGACCTCATGATGGTAAGCACGGTCGTCGCCCTACCGCCCTGATGCTCATGGGCACTCCAGCAAGGGAACCCGACATCGATAATATTGAGCCAGACACCAATGTACGTCCCAAGTCGGATCCACCAGCGGACGGTGGGACTGCATCTCATGGTAATTTACATGCTCTACGGATACCTGGAGGCTCGCACAGCAGACCCAGGGCTTCCAGCGGGCCGGAGAGGTCACGACAGAGCAAGCACCAACGATCGGAAACTACACGACAAGGAAAGTCCATGAAGCGGACATCGGTTAGACACACTCGCACGAATTCAACCTCACCATTGCTTGCTTTCCATATTGCATTATGTTCTTGATCAGTTGTAATTGCTGACGTGAGAGTTCCATACTGGGTGCGTCTCCTCTTCCCACGGGTGTGAAATATACGCAGTAGATAGGTGTGTTTGCACATCGCATGCGTTTGGAAGAGGATTGTGCAGAGATGAGAAGAGGTTCCAATGCTGCACTGGCCCAGGGGCCTTGGAGTCAATCGAGCGATGTGTAGGAATGATGGTCGCATCTCTTTCGGTACTGCTGTGATTCGAAGCCGTCGAAGGCTTCGAGGCTTTCGAAAAAAGAGAGTATCCTCACACCACGGGCCCAGGGGTCGATTCGCTCAGACCTCTTGGGCGCCTCGGGGGATCACGGCGGGCGCGCGTTTTCAGTATAGCTTTCGGCTTGAAGAAGTCCCTGCCGTCCGGCCCACGGCAGGCAGCGGGTCCGGGGGCGCAAGGCTGGTCCTTGGGAGTGACGTGGTCCAGAGCTCCAGGGACGAGTCCAGGCCTTCCGTATCGGTTGGCAAGAAGAGGGAGTCGGAGGATCGTGCCATGTTGCCGAGGCATTTGCGATGCAACTCGACGTGGGGCCTGATTTTCTTCGTGCAAACGGCGCCGATGCATCGGCGATGCGGTGCGATCCTCCAGCCTTGAAAATTCCGACCTTATTTGGGAGGTTTCCGGGGAGAGCACGCCGCATTCTTGGTTCCGCCGGGGATGTGTCTGCGCCGATATCCCCTCTGAGATCCGACGCTGCGACAAAAAGGCAATATCTCTGGCGAAAAAATGCGGCAGCAGCCCTAGACCCAGTCTTCTTTCGGCATTCTTCGAGCCGGCGTTCGCTGGCGGCAGGATGAGGTGGTGGCAGCAGGATGGGGCGGCAGGGTGGAGTGGTGGCAGGATGCGACGGAGGAGGGGGGAGCGAGGGCCGGGGAGGGTCGAGGACGGTAGGAGGAGAGAGGAGGCAGGGGCCAGGCATGGACGGGGAAGGAAGAAGGAGGGAACGACGACGACGACGACGACGCTGACGCTGACGAGGAGGAGGAGGAGGACGACGACGACGACTTCGACGACGACGATCGACATGTTGAGTGCCCCAGGGCTTGAAGCAGAGTCAGAAGGCCCGGCGCGAAACAGACCGCAACGCCCGGATCTCAGGTTGTGCCCGGGATCGGGGTTTCGGTGCGCACGTGGCGTCCTCCCCCCCGCAGGCGGCCTTCGCGGAAATGCGCAGCGCCGCCGTGTCCCCCGACACGTTCGCGTACAACGCTCTCCTCGACATCGCCGCCACGGAGGGCGACGAGGAGCGTTTTGAGCAGGCGCCGAGGGCGGCCGAAGGCCACCAGGGAAAGCGAGACTTGGCCTCCTCCTCCTCCTCCTGCTCCTCCCCCTCCTCCTCCTCCTCCTCCTCCTCCTCCTCCACCTCCTCGGCCTCCTCCTCCTCCTCTCCTCTCCTCCTCCGCCCCCCCTCCTCCGCCTCCGCCTCCTCCTCCTCCTCCTCCCCTCCTCTCCTCTCCTCTCTCTCCTCTCCTCTCCTCTCCTCTCCTCTCCTCTCCTCCCTCCTCCTCTTCCTCCTTCTCCTCCAGCCGCCGTTGCCCACGCCGAAGGACACGTTCGCTTACAACGCCCTCATCGACATGTGATCGTTTTCTTACTCATTGTTTTGCCGATCGGCGCAGGCCCTCGCCCCCCCCCTCACGCAGTGGATTTTCCGCCATGGCAGGCGACGGGGAGCGGTTTGAGCAGGCGCCGACGGCGGCCGAAGGCCACCAGGGAAAGCGAGATTTGACCTCCTCCTCTCCTCTCCTCCTCTCCTCTCCTCCTCCTCCTCCTCCTCCTCCTCCTCCTCCTCCTGATCCTCCTCCTCCACTCCTCCATCTCCCTTTCCTCCTCCTCCCCCTCCCTCTCCTCCTCCTCCTCCTCCTCCTCCCTCCTCCTCCTCCTCCCCCTCCTCCCCCTCCTCCTCCTCCTCCTCCTCCATTCGCCATTTCCCATGCCGAAGGATTTCGGCAGCGGCAGCGACGTCCCATGTCGACCCTCTCCCAGCGGTCGACGCCTCTCAACTGCCAAGTTCGGCTTTGAGGCATGTTGTGAGCCAGTGCGAGGAACCAATGGTGTCTGATGCGTGGTTTCCTTCACGCTTCTCTGCACAACCTACTTTCATTATGCGCTGCAGGCCGAGCGCGCGATACATGCTACGAGCTTGACCGTGACATCTTGACGGTGCCTCTGGCGTGTATACGAGACGTGGAGGGGAGGGATTACCACACGGAGGGCGGGGGAGAGGTATATTGCAGAATATATTGGATGCAAAACGGGCACCGTTAAGCAATGGCATATGTGTAAGTTGTATCATACCACGACGTCGGTTTAGACAACGACATGCATATGAGGTCATAATTGGATCAGAACATGCAGCAGGCTGATGTGGAGACATACGAATAAAAAAACTGGAACCATGTATAGTACCGTGATGTGCGCATCCCCCCACCAGTATATGCAGATGGCAAATGAAGGAAGCACACACTTCTGTACAAGCACCAACAGGACACGTGTGCGAACGGGTCGAACGATGCCCCACCAGAAACACTCCGATCCTGCCAGGTGTCTGGACTCTCGGAAGACAACACCCTCGTGGACCCCGACCAGAACCATACGGGACCCTACCACCTGAAACGACATGGACCGTCTGGATGCATGGTCTCGGACATGCTGCTCGGCCTCAACCTCATGGCACCCGGTACCTATTCGCCGAAGTCAGGACCAACGTATTTGGACCCCAGCGAGATAAGTCAATTCTACACATACTCGCCATACCAGCCACTCCTGGTCCAGGGGCTGGACGTTGCCGAGTGGTATGGAGAGCAGGACGAGCTTCCCAGCTAATCCTGATGAGCACCCCTCGAGATCATGTTCCTGTGTTCATGTCCTCCTGATCCTCCTTCTCCTCCACCTCCTCCTCGTCCTGCTTCCTCCTCCACCTCCTCCTCATCTTCCTCCTCCTCCTCCTCCTCCCCCTCCTCCAGCCGTTCTGCGCCAAGACTGGCGTTGCAGGCACTCAATTCAGAACGGCAGTGGTGTCTGCGGGCCAAAAGGTTCGGTGACCCTTTCGCTTTCTTTCATAAGCCACAATGGCGGCCGCTGGGGAGGTGGCGGCGGCGCTCCTCGGCACCGGGCCTGGGATCGCACATCCACCCCGTGGCACGCGGCCTACCACAGCTACAACTACGACTCGCCTGGCGGGGCCAACGACCAGCGCTGACAGTGCACGAAGTGCGGTCAGACCTCGATCGCAGCGATGTACTGCAAGCACTGCGGGGCCCCTCGTCAGTTACCACTTCCAGGCCAGCACCATGGTCCTCGCGGTGCGTGGTCTCGTTTACCTGATGGCCAGCCTGTGCGTCCTGGTCTGCTACCCCTTGGGCAGTGGGCCGAGACGCTCCCCGCTGGCATCCAGTCACCCTCCGGAGGCGGAGGGGCTGCCGGTGCCAGCTGCGGCCCATTGGACTCCAAGGAACTGCGGCTGCTGGTATCACTGGCCACGCGGGACGGGGACAGCGCCACGGCCGAGCGCTACCAAGGCAAGTTGGAGGCTCGACTGGCCGCAGTCCCGAAGCCCGCGGTCAGACCGCTCCAGAGCCAGATTTCCGAAGGTGCATTCCGAAATAGGGAAGTTGGATCGCCGTCTCGAGCACGAGGTGGCCAAGCACGAGCGCTGGCAGGAGGGTCTCGGGCAGCAGGAGGTCCTCATCGTTGATCTGTCCCGTCGGCCGAAGGCGCTGCTGCAGCAGGAACATGAGCTTGCCAGCAAGCTGCACACCACCCTGGTCCCCCAGATTGGCGATGTTGATCGGGGCGATGGTCCTGCTCTCAACTTACGTGACTTGGTGGACGGACGGCTGTCAAATCTTCGCATCGACGACGACGGCCTTTTATGTCGACGTGGACCCGCGAGGAGGTCGGGAAGCGCAGTGTCGAACTCAAAGAGCACATCGCGGCAGCGGCTAAAACAATGTTCCAAGACGCTTTGCAACAAGCCGAAGCCGTCAAAGCAGAACATGAGGCTAACTCGCAAGCGGATCGCAGGCAAGCGGAGGCGTGCCCAAGACGTATCGGTCGCAGGAGGACCCGATGGTGTTGGTGGCGACAGCGGCGATAGGGGGCGCTGGAGCTGCGAGCTCCGCAGCGGCTCCCGCAGCGGAGGCTCAGTCGACGGCCCCGGCGCCCGCCTCCGCAGCGGCTGCTACGGCACCCTCTGAGGCTGAGCGCGTTGCTGAGCGTGTTCGCGGTGGCGGCACCACCGCAGGAGGAGGTCGGCTGCCCAATCCATCAGCCCCCCCTGGAGGCAACGGCGCTGCCGAAGCGGGGGGCTCGACTCCGAAGTGGCCTTCGTGCCCCAGCCCTTCCACCTCCCCCCGGGGCCGAGTCGTTTCGTCGGAGCGTCGTCAGCGTCGACGGCAAATCGTGGGGGTCGGTGAAGGACGGGCTGCCGATGGTCACGGCAGAAGTTGTTCCGGCGCAAGAACACAAAGTCATTTTGACCGAGGCTCTGGATCGAGCTTCTGCGTTTTGCCTCGGGCTGGGGTGGGAAAAGCATGTGGGCCCCCGCTTCGGAGGGCCCAGGAGGTGGTCCTTCGTATGGAGTCGCCATTATTCGCCGGGCTTTTTTTGAGGACTCCACCCCCCGCCTGAGGGCTCTGTTATAGTGCCGCATCGTGCTGTCACGGCCTTGGTCCACGCTCCCAGATGCGACGTTTTCCAGTTTTGCTTTCTGTACCTCAGGGATTCGGAAGACCTCCCGGAGCCCAATTTGGAAATCCTGTCGGCTGTAGGGGCGGCGGGGTCAACGTGCGAACGGCCATTTACCGTCGGGGGGGGATCTGAATATGGAGCCCAGCACGTTGGCCAAGAGTATGTTCGCGCCCACCCTGGCGGGTCAAGCGATCACGAGCGGTGCGCCCGCGCGCCATGCTGGAACCCCCATGGAGTATGAGTGCTTTTGCTCTGTCTTCTGGAGTTGCCAAGGGAGTGCGAAGCGTTCAGACGGATACGAATGCTGTTCATTTTCCCCATTATCCTATGCGCCTGGAGTTTCACGCCGGCACGGTCCGCGCGCGCTGCCCGACGTTCAGGAAACCGCCGGGTTTACCGACGGCCCCCCCGGCGGGGCCGCAGCCAGAGCCCCTCGACTTCACCCGCGTCGAGCACCAGCTCGATGCCGCGTTAGTTCGAGCTCGCAGGGGAGATGGCGCGGCGATGGCCTCGCAGCCCTTCGGCGAGACCTTCGCTTCATGGGCCTCTCTTCCTGAGCGCGAACTCGCCGGGACTTTCGGGTGGAACTTCCAGTTTGGGGCACGAGGGGCACGGGGCCCATCGCCCACTGGCGCCCGTGCTTTGGGGAAGACCAGGGGCGCGTACGTTGCCCCCGACTTCGCGCCAGCCGCTGGCTGGAGCGCGCGTTTCGTCGTTGTTCGGTGCGCGCGGGGCGCGCCGACTGGCTCCAGGCTCGCATTGCGGCTCAGTCGCTCTCCAAACTCTGTTCCCACGCTTCCTCCGTGCTGGGCCCTTTCCCTGGATTTGGAGATTTGCTTGCTTCCTGCGCCCAGCTAGGGAAGGACTTCCCCTGCTTGCTTTTTGCCTCCAGACGACGCGCAGGGGCGCGCGGGCAGCCAGGGCGACGTGGTCCCAGAGCAGGAGAACAGCCACAATTTGTTGTTCGCTGCCAGTCCTTCATCCAGAGTGCTCTCGGTCCCCGGGCGTTCCGTGGGCCCGCCGGATCGTTCTGATCACTTCGGTTGATTTTTGTTTTTCCCCTTCCCCCCCCCCCGCCCGTGGCCCCCCTCCCCTTGCTGCCCCGTCTTCCCCCTCTTCTTCCCCCCCCCCTCCCGCCCCGCTGTGCGCCCAGAGCGTTCCGGAGAGCGCTCCCCAGAACATTAATTATGGGGTTATTTTCTCTTCCCAGCAGGTCCAGGATCGAGTTCCCAAGCTTGGCGATGCCGTGAGAGTTCTCGCGCAAGCCTGTCTCAGCATTCTTCTGCCCAGGCTCGCAAGGACTCTGCCAGCTGGTTGACGGACAACGTCGACCATGGTGGGCGTCGGGCTCACTCGTTCACCAAGGATCCGCAGGCTTGGAAAACTAGTACCACTTCAAGCTCCGAAGGGTGCGTGACCTCGGGCCCGCAGGCCTTCCAGGATCACGAAGCCATTCGTTTTCGAGACCTGTGCGAGGCCCTGGGCGCCCCTGCCGAGCAGGCATTAGTCCTGGGCCCCCTGCCCTTGGTTGCCCCCGACCCCCTTCGGCAGCCCTCGAAAACT